AGCCAAGTCCAAATCAAAACCCTTTGCCCTCATCTCTTGGATAATTTGCATTGCCAGATCCAACCTATCCTGCTCACATAGCATCTTTACCAGCAGATGGTATGTTAGTCGATCTGCCACGTATCCAGATTCAATCATCTTGGTATAGAGGTTTAAGCCTTCTTCAATCTTCCCAAACTTGGACAAGTACCGAAAGAAGTAATTATACGTTGTTGCTGTTGGCATAAAACCTCTATTTATCATCATCTTAAGAATCTTACTAGCCCTGACAAGATCTCCTGCCTTGCAATAACCTTTCACCAATGAATTGTAAGTTGATAGAGTTGGACCAGATTCCAGAACCGACAGCCTCTCCATCATTCCTGATGCTTCCTTGAACCGCCCAGCTTCCCCTAATGCATCTATTATTGGATTGTAGACAATTGCATTGGGCTCAATTCCTTCCTCTTTCATCTCACCAATCAATTCAATTGCCATCTCAACTCTACGCATCCGGCATAATCCTTCGACAAGGGTACCATAAGTTACAACATTAGGTTTTATGCCCTCCTTTTTCATCTCAGCCCACAACCGCTCAGCTTTCTTGATCTTTCTTGATCGAAACCATCCATTTAACAATATATTATAGGCCCGAATAGATGACGACCAATTTGAGTCTTGTCCTTTTCGTCTATAAAAATACTCAGAAGCTACCTTCACATGCCCCTCTTTGCATAAAGAATCTAATAGTATCTCAAATAAGTTGTTCTCCAAGCCCGCAGCGTGTAAAAAGTTTATATTTGAAGAAAATTCATATGTTCGAATTGCTGGTAAGAGCATACCTGCAAAGACAAAAGGATCACAGTACTCATCAGATGATTAGAACTTACATATGTGCACCAAATATTGAGTGGCCAAAGATTCAAAATGAACTGACTTAGAAATCACTTGAGAAGCAGAAGATAATTGCAGCAGATCTCTCCTCTCTCTCTCTCAAGAAACTGTACTCCAGATGAAGTATGCAGTTGGCTTTCCATTCAATGCCTTAGATTCTCAATCGCTCTTTTTAGTGGGGAAGAATAGTGCCGGAAGGGAGTGAGACCAAGTCGAGCCACTAGTAGAGTAAGCCCTGACAGATCTCCGTCCCATTTCATGGATGCATCGCATTGAGAATTGACTCGTTAGATTAACCGCTTAGACCTTTGGTAGCAGGTTGCAGCTTGCACATGCAGGATCCCCCAGGAGGTCAACTTGATCTATCCTATTTTCAATCGTTAAGGTGGAGAACCGAACCAATTAAGTTCACTGAGATATCGCATGGTTAAACTTCTCGGGCTCGACCCCCATGATGCAATTCAGGGATGAGGTGAGAAGAAAACAGAAAAGATAGAGTTTTGAAGAAACCTACGGGAAAGTCAAATCATTTCATTTCGACAATGGCCCAAACGAGAGCAAACTATTCTAAGAGACCTCGAGCGTAATACATGCTACTTGAAGCGAGCTACTTTAACTGCCAAAGGAGCTGGGCAACTTGAGTTAGACGAGAGACAAGGACATAATTTCAAAGAGGCTTGATCGGGATGAATCGAAATATAGCAGCTACACCAAAACTAGGTGCAAAGAACCAACCAGACTGACCTAGTGGATAAATCAGAAATACAGGAAGAAAAAACATAGAAAAGGAAAGGCAATTTGGCATTTTGACCGACTCCAATAAATCTGAGTTAAAATTCAACATGTGACACATCTCTCTTATATTATAAGAGAAATGAACTATCATGTCATTTTTAGGCCGAACATGATCAAATTATGGAACACACGAGTGCCTTTCTAAGTTGCTAGGACTCTTCATTTTCGGTGCCACACTCATGTCGACACGACGTGGGTGTGGGTGTGGAATCCACACCGAATCTGGTCAATTGATTATGGATACATTGACCAAACTCAACAAAGAAATTCGGGACAGATGCAATAATTTATTTTATGAAGAGATACAATGATTTCTGAAACTACACAAAAGTTAGGGTGAAATCGAAGAAAATGGAATACCTTGTATATAGAAATTTTCATGTTAGTCCTTTTCTTTTTATCTCCTAGATTCTCCTCTTGATCAATATTTTCTCCTTCTCGGAATACCCTGTAGGTTTTCCACACTTTTCTCATAATTCAGACACATTTTTATAAATCTATTTTTAGATATTTGAATTATTTTTAGCCGAATCCCCGCACCTGTATCCGACTATCCGTACTTGGGATTGTAA